GTTTTGATAATCCGAACCGTTCAATGTGTGGAACTCGTCGAGTACTATATGGCTGTAAAAATTCATGTTGATCGGATATCGATAGCTATGTGAACAAAATAGTTTTTTATCAACCGTTAATTGTTTCACCGTCCATTTTTTTTTAATACAAAATTGATTTGATCACATAACTATTGATATCCGATCAACGTGATTTTTTATAGGCATGTAGTACTCGACGAGTTTTACACATTGAACGGTTCGGATTATCAAAACAGACCCAAAAAATGGGCCCCATAGGCTGAACTAAACGGGTCCAGTCTTGATATCAACTTGAGACAATCTGGACCCTTCTATTAATTAGGTTGCTCTAACATTGCCCACTAATATTACTGCATATTTAAAAAAAAAAATTAAATAAAAAATTTCTTTGCGTTTAAAATAAATGAATCTGAGCATCACATTATATTAATTTTAAATCTATTTAAAATTTTAAATTTTGAACACTTATTTTTTCTGCATATCTTATCTATAGCTTTTTAATTATGAATTAAAAAAAATACAATTAAAACTGTAAAATAAATCAAATTCAGCTCGTATCTAACTTGTATGTAAACATATCAATTTAAACACATTCTAAAAGTGATTGAATTTTCAAAAAAAAAAAAAAAAAAAAACTTCAAAGGAAAAGTTTAGGGAACCAGATAAGGTTCAAGGAAATTACAATAAATTTTATATTTACAGTTTTTATTTAAATTTTTTGTTGTGAGGTTAAATCTTGAGTGAATCTTGTTATATATAGGCCTCGTTTGGGAAGTGGCTATTTTAGAGGCTATTTGGCTTTTTGGCTATTTTAGTAGGCTATTTTAGTTTTTGTGTTTAGGAAGATGGGATAAATTTTTAGTTGAGTTGTTGTATTGAAAAATGTGTTGAAATGATGTTTGAATTTAAAATGACTAATTTAGCCCTAATCTCACATTTTTCAAAATAAAGACAAAGGGGCAAAAGTGTAATTTCCTTACCTGTCACTGTGACAGCTCTGCTGGCCTATATATATATATATATATATATTTTTATTTTTTTTTTTGAAAATGAAAACAGAGGCTTTTTGACTTATTTAGACAAGGGGCTATAATAGCCTAAATTAGGCTACTTTTTTCCTTCCCAAACACCCCCTTAGTTAATTGCCACATAGCAACTTCTAGACTTGAGTAACCCCCAAGTAACTTAAATATCTTATTATTTTTTGGCCCATATATTTATAAAATTACATACAAATTGCACCCTTATTCCAATTTATTCTATATAGAATTATATTATTCCCATTTATAATTAGATAATACTAATATGAGAGTTAAAGGATAATTTAATTTTCGGGTTATTACAATATTCCCTCATTTTGTTTAAATTGCAACTCATGGATATGTTTGTTTAACTTTTAATAATTAGTTGATAATGATTTTATAAACAATTATGTTTTATAAGTACTACCACGGGAGTCTCATGTGTTGGGGGACTTAAATAACCACTGGCCTCTGTTTAGCTACTTTGTGGTCCTCTGTTTACCATGAATCTATTGATCTCTGTTCTATGCGGAACAAAGTGTTGTGCGAAGTTAAGTGCTACACTACTGTGGGAACCACCTCTAAAATCCGTACGAACCACCTCTTAAATCCGTACCTCTGTATTGTCATGAATCCATTAACCTCTGTTCTGACTGTCACTCTTGTGACCTCTGTTCAGTTCTGTTCGGTACCGTGGTTATGATAATTTATTTACATAATTTCTGTATTTCAATTTCTGCCACTTTGATTAATTTGTTGATTCAAATTAAGTTATGTTAATGTTTTCGCTTAAATAACTATCCATGGTTATTTTGTGTCCCTTATACTCTTGGCATAATATTTCTTACTCTGTCATGTGCTTATAGTTGTTTACCAATTTTCAAGAAACAATGCAATTCAGAAATAGCTTTTGGAGAGTCTTAGACGCGAGGTTGCGGAATAGACACACGTATCACTTTTATAGTATTTATAATTTTAATTTTCATATGTAAATATCGGCATTTTTGGTCAATAAATTTTGTTGTAAAAATAGAAGTTCCAATGATTATTTTGGTACCCTCACTTAAATATTTTTCCGCTCACGTTTAGTAAGTTGTTTAAGAATTGGCTAAAGGTAACTTCAGTTACTGGTTATCACGATATTTAACCCTTTGGTACGGGGAGCGAGTCGTGACATCTCATATACAAAGTTCAAAACTCATCTGATTCTAAAACAAAATACTTGCAACAATTAGTCTTACATATTTTCAATTGTAATCAAAAAGTCTTTTTTTTTTAAAAATAATTTAAAGACGCTGCTACATCCCATCATCGTCAAACTTCTGTTAGACGATCAGTGGAAGCTCACCGAAATATTTTAACATCACTAGGAAGTCAATGGAGTATCGCCAGAGTGTTCTGAACGTTACTAGAAGTCATCGGAATATCTAGAACGTTGCCGGAGACTCATCGGAATATTCAGAATATTGCCCGAAAAAAAAAGAATAAATGGAGAAACTATAGTTAAAAAACATAACAATAACAAACAACAATGGGAAAAAGTATATATTGTTTTTCAATTTTTGTAGGGTTTAAACAAATAATCTGTAATATTGATCAAATTAAAAAGTAAGCTTTGAAACTGTAAAAAGTTACAGTTTCAAAGCATTATTCTATTAAGTTGGAAAACATGTTATGAAACTGTAAAATTTTACAGTTCTAAAGAATGTTATGAAACTGTAAAATTTTGTAGTTTTAAAGTATGATTCATTTCAGTACCAAAAAAGCTAAAACTGTAAAATTTTATTGTTTTCGCCGCCTGTAACTAAAATTTAAAAACAACTTATTCAGAATTTGAAATTTTTCTCCTTTAAAATAGAAAAATGGACGTGTGTAACGGAGAAAAGGTAGAAAAATTGAGAAATCAAAGGAAAGAATAGATATAGAAAGAATATTGTACTCCAGCAACCATTTTTTATTTAGATCTAGTTGGATCTCATGTAGATCTACTCAAATCTGATGTAGATCTCATCTTCTTCGTCGTCGGTGATGATGAAATCACAAGTTGATGTCAGTGGTTGGTGGTTGCTGGTGAACCCTAATCAATGGTGGTCGTTGGTCACCGGTGACTATATATTAGAAAGAGAAAGAGAATAAGGAAGGTATGATCACCTGTTGTCGGACATGATAAAGAGAAAGAGAGGAAAACACAAGAGAGAGAGAGAGAGAGAGAGAGAGAGAGGAAAACGCAAAGAATGAGACAAGAAACAGAAGAGAGAGAGTAAAACATGTAGGATTTTTGGGTCTACTCAAAAAGTTATTAGGTTAAATAGTGTACACATATTTCAAACAGGACCTACGTGTAATTTCTCCAATATTAATAAACAACTATATTTATTTGATAGAGTCCAGTGTTGCACTGCACTACTACTAGAAAGGAAATATTGGACACAAAATGTTTTGCGACGGTTTAAAAATCATTGCAAAAACTATGTTTTTGTGACAGTAAATGGCGCCGTCATCCAATAATTTTTTTTGCCATGGAAACTTCAAGACCATGGCAAAAAATAGTATTTTACGTGACGATTTCTCCCCCATCGTCTTTTTATTTTTTATTTTTTTTGCAATTGGTTGTTTTGTTTTTGCGACGCCATTTATTCTTCCGTCGCAAAAACTTTTATTTTTGCTTCCCGCGCGTTCCTCTTTGCCCTATCTTCCATCCCCTTTCAGTATGCTCTTCTCAAATCAACTAAAAAAAGGAAAAACAACCGTCTGTCTTCTCTAGTCGCCATTCTCTGTCTAACTAGAGCTCCCAGTCATCACAGCCCCAACAGCACCAGCGTGGGAAGAGGTAACCCTCCTCTCCTCTCCTTTTCTTTCCTCTCACACTCGCTCGCACCAACCCTCACAATCTCTCTCTCTTGCTTTCGCTCTCGAGTTAGCCTCACAGACTGTCTGTAGCAGCGGCGGCAGCGACTTTCCACGGGTTCTCCATCGGGCATCCAGGTATATCTCTCCTCTGCTTTCCTCTGTTGTTCACTCCTCTTTTTCTCTTCTTTTGCCTTCATTGGAATCAAACCCTCTTCATTGGATTTTAACCCTGAACACCAATTTAAAAAAAAATTAGGTTTTGATCTCAATTGAAAGAGGGAAACAAGTGATCGTTCTGGATCTTTTGGATTTTCCCATGAAGTGTACTGTGGATATAACCTCATAAAGCGCCTACCCCAATCTCTGCAAGTATACATTTTAATTAGACAAAGCCTCATGGAAGCTAAAGCTTCACATATTTTTCTGAAATATAAGCATTTTAATACTTAACAAAAATCAAAACTCTGAAACATGTAACAAACACTGTTAAAATAAATTGATGACTTAATAACAAAAAAATAATGAAATAAAACATGCCCCTCTTGGAGTGGGGGAAATTCAGCGAATATTCTACCTGAAACTCCAATGCTGAATCATTCAACACTAATAGAATTGGTGTTCCAATGCCAGTTCTCTAGTTAGGCCAGGTACTGTTGAATATTTTTCTTGTAATCTGAATGTTAACTCCTTGCCGTTTGTCTTACATGAAAATTTCATTTGAAATGTGATTTTGCGGGAAGTTATTAGAATTTAGCCAAATAGTTTTGGCCTAGTGAATTGAGATGATGCAATGAAGAAATACTTTATGCTTTTAAAATAGGAATTTACTAACTAGGAATTTTATGTCTATATCAAAATTGAGAACTTGGGAGAAGATGACAATCAATAATCTTTTTCACTGAGTTAATGTTAAATTTTCTTGAGGAAACAAAACATAGTAAGTATTTAATTACAAAATTTGTGGTTCCTTGTATTATTGTTAAATTTAGTTAGATTTAACAATAAGAAGAAGAATAGAGAATAAAAGAGAAATTGTATACTGGGATGGGAAGAGAGAGAGTGAATTAGGATTCTCTCCATCATCCTCTTGTATTAATATTAAGGGGTTGTTTAGGGTGTTCTCAATAAGTACACTTTTTGACTTTTTGGACTAAAAAGTTGAGGAAAAAAAGATGGTTGTTTGGGATAACTTTTTGACCTTTTACGAAAAAATGTGTATTAAAAAATTGTATAAATTAGTGTATATGAGAAGCTTGGGCAGAGTAGGCAGTACGGTGGGCAAAGTAGTGTATAGGAGAAGCTTGTCTCCTTTTCGGGCATTGAATTGGACGATGCTGTTTGGCCTGTGGGGGCCCACCACGGGTCCCGTTTTGCTAATTAGAACCGTTCAATGTATAAAACTCGTTGAGTACTATATGCTTGTAAACAATCACGTTAATCGGATATCGATATCTATCTGATCAGTGTAGCTTTTTGTCAGCCGTTAACTCTAACACCATCCATTTTTTATACAAAACGGATTTGATCATGTAGTTAGCGACATCCGATCAACCTGATTTTTTACAGGCATATATTACTCGAGGAGTTCTACATATTGAACGGTTCAGATTATCAAAACGGGACTCGTGATGGGCCCCCACGGATCGAACAACACCGTCTTGTTTGCTTCTTCGCCTGCTCCTTTTGTACAAACGGTGGGCAGCTAAAGTACAACTCACATGACATGTGAGTTGTACTTTTTTTTGTAAAATTATTTTTTTTATTTTTTATTTTGGTGAATAGTGATAACTTTTTAACTTTTTTATTTACTTTTTGGCTTTTTTGAGGTATCCCAAACCAGCCCTAAATTGGTAACTACAAATACACTTCCAAGTTTACATAACACGTAATACTTATCATGCTCAACTTGCAAATAATGGGGTGAAAATTCTTACTACCAAGCCTTTTAGTGAATATATCTTCTAACTGACATACAAATCAAAACCTTGCTCAACTTTTTCTTAATAAATTGTCTGTCAACTTCAATATTCTTGGTTCTATCATGTTGAACTATATTATGAGCAATGTTGATGGAACCTTATTTTGAAAAACCATAAACAACATTCAAGAAACAAAAGAAACCCATAAAGCTTCATTTAAGCTCCAATTACCTCAGCTGCTGCCTCAACAGGCTCCTCAGCAGGCCTTTCCATTCTCACTCCAACATCCTCCGTAGAGTAGTCACCATGGACCTCCATCAACTTGCCAAGATCAAACTTGGGAGCTTTCAAGTTCTTGACTTTGGGAATGAAGACATTCTGCAGAGGGTAGATGCTTGAAGTTGTCTTCTCAATCTCCCTATCAATTGATTCAGGAATAAACTTCTGGACCAAATCCTTCAGATCACAAGATTGCGCCTGGTTTACCATGATCAGAATATAGATCTTTCAACTAAACCTAGAGCCACATAAGCTCCCAAATTCCATGAGCCACATAAGCTGCCACATAAGCTCACAATATAGATCTTTTAGTTTCTTGAAACTTCTAATTTTTAATGAAAAATTAAGTAATTTTTCTCTTTTCAATGCATCTCAAATTATGAACAACTTTGCTTATGTTATGAAAGTAGAAAGAGAAGAGAAAAGAGAAAGTATATATTGAATTGAATAATGAAATACAAGAAGCATGTGTTTATAGGCTGAGAAGAAACGTAGATAAGTATAGAAAAGGAGATAAAGATACATCAGAGATAATTATAGAAAAAGAGATGAGATACATCTATAATACAGATAGATAATCATAAAACAATCATATATATATCTAACAGCTTATCTTCACAAATTTATATTTGTAATTACAGTTCGTCCTGAGAAATTTGCTAAAATAATTCTCTTTTTCTTGTTTGTTGGGTTCATTTAACAGTTTTTTTCTTATTAGTATTTTATTGACAATTTCTTGCAGAACCAATTACTTGCAATGAATTACATACATGAGGGAACAGATGATAACATATGGGTTAAGAACAATTTTAAGTTGAAAGATTACTCAATTAATGATATTCGTGTCAATCTTTATCAAGTGAGAATTGGCAACTGAATCATAAAACTGAGGCAGCAGTGGGAGTGTTGGTTGCTGTTTTGTTCTGTTAATGCTGGTGCTATTTTCTTTTTATTGTTTTCTGTTGGTGTCTTGCCAACATTTAGTGTGTGTCAACTTAGTTGTGATATGTTCCACTAGCAATGATGCAATGTTATCACCAAACTACTGGATTTGAAAACAATTCAAATTTGCAGATGTTATAATAGCGGTTAGTGTTTGACATGACCCCATAAACTGTCTTCTACATTGGTCTGACACAACCATCCAGTGTCCTCTACAACGTTATGACACCACCATCCAGTGTCTTCACCAATGGTCTGACACGACCATACAGTGTCTCCTATCCTCTTTTCTTTTATGTATTCGTCTATTTTCTTGTTTTGTTACTCTCTCCAAACTCAAGTTGGCTAGTTCCTATCCCCCTTTGCGGGGGGCTGTTAAAACCTATCACCTACTTCACCCACTTAAACCTATTCCACTAAACCTAACCCACTACACCACTACCACCTCCACTTCACCTACTCCTTACCTACTACACACTCACCCTCTTCTATATATAGGAATCATGAATCATTGTAATAGATATCAATATAAATCAATCAATAATACAATTCTCTATTTCTCTTTATACATTAAATTTCTACAGGGACCTTGAGTAAACTGACCCTGCAATACACAGCCAAACAGCCCTTTTTTTTTTTTGAAGTCTAAAACTTTGAACTGGGGGCAAAACAGAAGCACTGATGAACAGAGCCAAAACAAGCCAATCAGGTTTTGGTTCATATTCTAGCTTTCACCAAGAATATGTAGAATGTGGCCCTTGTAGAGGTCAGTACTCTGATTTCTTTGGGTGAACTAACACTTCAACTAATAACTGATATCACATATGACATACCAAGGCCACAGCTTTTAATTCAAGGTAGTGGATTTTCTTAATTGCAACTTCAAACTGCACTAAGTTCTCCATTTTTCTGAGTTCCCATTTGGGAACATTTCAGCTGCGTGCTATTTTTCTTTCTGCATTGGACAGTTGAACCTCACCTAATATAAACATATGAGTCTCCTTTCCCTTCCAAAGATGAGGCTTATTTTTAAGGGGATAAATTTACAAATGTTGGCAACCAGTATGCTGCTGCTGAATAAGAGTTGTGGAACTTGCTATAATGGCCAAGCAAATTGACTGTATGATCATAGTCTGGGTGAGTGCAATTTCTGCGAGCTGCTCCAGAATTTGGTCATAATCCTATAGCTTACCTCCAACTCAGGAATCAATATGAGACATGCCCTTAGAATCTCCCATGAGTTGATTGATTCTTCCTTCACTTGTAAAAGTTTTGACTAAATTTTTCTAATTTTTAAAATTGTATAGTCGAATAAATTTTTTTTTTTTTTTTTTAACTAAAAAAGAAAGAGAATATTTTGGTCTTATCACAAAAGAATTAAAGTCATGCCAAGCAAACATTCATTACTTGTTTTGATTTCTATGCAAGTGGAGATAGTTGGCTTCATTTAATACATTCTAACTAGTGCCACTTGTCAACAAAACCCCTCTAAAAAATTAGTAAAATGGTAAAAGCTTGGCACTAAGAGTGAGAACAAGGGTTTGAGTACAAGTGCAGCTGGGTAGGCACTCTGCAATTAATGCTACAGGATAGGTCTATGATTAGTTCACCTAGAACTGGGAATGGCCTGTTTTATGGATCATCTTGAGGGGCCTAACTGTCATTATTATGAACTAGTAAAACCTGCTTCATGGTTAAAAATTCTTTTGCATGGTTTTTAATTCTTGAATGTTATGGAAGTGTAAGCCTACATTATGTTCGTGTAAATTTCATTTTACTGATGCGTATTCTTTTTTGTAAGATTTCTGATTTGAAAAGCAACCAAATGCAGCTATGACGAATCAAGAGTTAATAGATAATGGAAATCGGATGATGGATGAGGCTGATCAAGCCATTGATAGGTCAAAAAAGGTTAGTATATCTATTCTGCTCCAGTCAACTCAACAAGCCTTATGCCAATTGCCTTTGGTTGCTTCGCATGTCTATCTTCTCCAGCTAACTCTATGTAAAACTATATATTGATTCTCTTTTCTCCTAAAGACTTAAAAAGTCCAAACTTGGCTTGACCCACATGTAATTGTTTTGGAGCCTTCAATTTGATTCGAGTCACATGCATTAGTTAACCTACAATGCACAAGGGCAAAGCCATCTCAAATGGCATTCCCCCACTTTATCTTCAATCTGTGTCACTACTAACATAATTTGATTTTAAGTTTTATGTTGGCTTTTTGGTTACCCACAACCCTCTTCCCCCTCTACGGGCATGGGATGGGTTTTCTGAAACCCCTCTTGTATCACTAATGGCACCTGTTGCCGTTACTACTACTACAGCTTGGTGCTTTCCTTCAGAAACAATCATTTGATCTTTTGCTGGTTTGCTTGTATCAATTTTGGCTAACTCAGTGAGGTTCAGTTATCTGTCTTCGAGTGGTATAGGAATCATTGGACATTTAGTTTTATCTTTTTTACTTACTTAGGGAGACTGTTATTCTGCAGTCAAAAAATTGCATTGGTAGCCCCCTCCTTCACCCATGTGTCTCACAGTGACACATGTGAGAGAAGGCTTTGGATTAGCCCCTTCCTTTCTTTATTATTGATATAATTAGCTGCCTTTCCTTTTTTACTTTTGATGATGGGCTGGCAAGTTAACCAGAGTTAGTTAACTTTTGCTACATATTGTTGAAACACCTACATTTGGCAATGCCCAGAAAGCTAGCACGTATCTAGAAGTATGCATTTGTTATCTCTGTCTTGATATTCTAAGTTACAATTAAAAATGATAAAAAAGAAAGTTATGTTGCGAATAATTGTAGCTGACCTATCTGAAGACTAAAATTTTCTCAACTTTTGCGATGAACTTGTCTGTGGTTAGAGGTGCTCATGGATAACAATTGTTCTAGTTTACATTTTTCTATGCCACATCATATACCTGCTAATGTACCTCCAGTTTTTAAATTTGTTTGGCACATATTTGTTTGGTAGTGCTAGCAACATCTTCCTGTCATCTCATTTGGTTTTGGGTCTTGGAAGCAATTTGGTGTGGAATTAAAAAGAAATAAATAAATGATGATGGTTTTTCTATCCAATAACTTGAACCTGAATCCTGATAAAGATTTTTCTGGTGTTACCGATGTGAAGCAACACCACCAAATTATGCACATTTTGTTTAATATATGTAAATTAGTGACTCTCCCAAATGTGCCCCACCAAGAGAGAAAGAGGGGGAGGCGGTGGCGAAATTACTTGTAAATCTTCAAAAGCTTGTTTTTTGTAATAGGCTGTCCATGACACAATTAATGTTGGAACCGATACGGCAGCAGCTCTGTAGGCACAGTTACATTGTTAGACTAATTTGAGAAAGAAAGTTGACAGCTTCTAAAATTTAGGTGTGAGAATTGAAGCATCATACTTCTTTTATGTTTAGACTGAACAAATGAATAGAATTGTTAATGAGTTGGATTCTGTCCATTTCTCGATCAAGAAGGCTTCTAAATTGGTGAAGGAAATTGGTAGGCAGGTCAATCTCTAAATTATTCACATCTCTCTTCTCTGATGTAATTAATTAAATTGTAAATGATTTTTTTTTGGTTTTCTTTTTGCAGATGCAACCCTTTTGAGTACATGATGATATTTTCACATATCGATATTGGAACTTATACTCTTATTTATGTATTTATTGAAATAAATATCCAATGTTTTGCATTTTTTGTAAGCTTAAAATTAATTATATTGTAAATTTATTTATTTATATTTTTTTTTGCAGATACAACCCTTTTGAGTACGAGATGATATTTTTGCATGTTGATATTGTAACTTACAATCTTTTTTGTATTTATTTATTTTTTGAAATAAATATCAAATTTTTACATTTTCTGTAAGCTTAAAATTAATTATATTGTAAATGATATTTTTGTTTGTATTTTTTTTTTTGGCAGATGCAACTTCTTTTGAGTAGGTGATGATATTTTCGCGTATCAATATTGAAGCTTATTGTTGATATTAAAACAAACTATGATATATAAGTTTTTTTTTAATTTGTATTGTCGATACTTTTGTTTTGCTTTAGATACAAAAAATTAAGTTCTTGAATATAAAAAATTATTAGTATTGTTGGAAGATGTTTCATATATTTTTGTAAAGAATATTTGGTTGACAATTGTACAAGGTATATAGATATACATACGTATGATTTTGTGAATGTGGATGTGGATGTGGATGTGGATGTCGATATATTTTGTTTTAGAAAATATTAATAACTTGTACTGTCACGACCCCATTCCGCCCCTAGTAGAATGGTGTTGTGATGGCCAGTAATCTGAGATTACCAAAGGCCAACTTATAAAGATTCACACACAATCAGAGTATACATATGGGGCTTACATGTGCGGAAGCAATAAATTTAAATCTAAGTGGTCCATAAGAGCTGTGCATAGGTCAAATGAAATGACATACATACTAACATGGTTTACAACTTGAATAATAATAAAACAAGGTACGTGTTACATCTTGATCAAAAGGCTTCTCAAGCCGACATATACAAAAGACATGAAACATAAACATCCTGATCAAAAGCTAAGAAGCATAATTTTCAAGATGCTAGCCAAAAATATAAACCAAAACATCTTGCAAATAATCATCTAGGCGTCACCGCCTTCAAGATGCTAGCCAAAAACATAAACCAAAACATCTTGCAAATAATCATCTAGGTGTCACCGTTTTCTTGCTCGTCACCTACATATATATATGGAGAGGGTGAGCTTGGATACTCAGTGAATGATATTAGTAATAAAGGTTTAAATGAATGATGTCCGAGATCTTTATCAAACAATACATAGCATATCTTGCACAAATCCAAGGAATGAACCAAGTTCATCTGTCAAATCTTTCAAAATTTCAAGGGATGCTTACTAATATTAATATAATACAAGGGAAGACATTCCGGACAAACCCGCGCGGTAAACCGTCGGTGGCAAGACAAAAGGAGATATCTCAAAAAAACACGCTAGTTTCATTATAGTCCCTTAGCACTAAAGACTTTCCAAGACAAACGTGCTAGTTGCATTATAGTCCCGTAGTACTAAGGACTTTCCAAGAATGTCATCAACACAAGATAATACTTGATACAAAAACTAGGGATAATCATTCATGCTTGGTCAAATATTTTCTCAAAACAAAGCAAAGCTTTATCAAACTTTATAACATAGCTTTATTAAAAATATCACTCACATAGCTCTTCGGGTGTAGGGATTAAGGCAAGAATCTAAGACCTACAAATACATGGCAAAGTCCACTGAATGCACTTCAAGAAGACAAGAAGAGATGCTCAAAGATGGGTATGAAAT